GGCAAGCTCCAGGCTGCCAATCCTACTCCCACTCCAGGCACCTTTGGCATCCATCTCCCCTTCGCCCCCCAGAAACTGGCCCTGCTGCACTGGAAGCTATGCTATGGTTAGGGGATACCAGTCTGCCTGGTCTTCAAGGGCTGGCACCTTTGGGTGTTGCCCCGTTCTCTTTCTCCTTTTCAAACATTCGCTCTCTTGCTTTGATTTTGAAATTCAATTGAAAATAAAACAAATTAATAATGATGGTTTTGTGAAAGGTTAGAGCAGGAGACGTTGAGAGAAATGTGGAGAAAGTCCAGCAAATAGAAGCAAATAACAAGTCAAAGAAAACACTAGAAAAGGCTGGCTGGGTACAGGGGGGTGCACTGGTGATCCTAGCACTTTGGGAGGCTGAGACAAGAGGGTTGCTTAAGCCCAGAAGTTTGAGATCAGCCTGGGCAACACAGTGAGGCCTTGTCTCTACTAAAATAATAAGAATAAATAGCCAGGTGTGGTGGCACATACCTACGGTCCCAGCGACTTGGGAAGTTGAGGCAGGAGAATTGCTTGAGGCTAGGAGTTTGAGGCTGCAGTAAGCCATGATTATGCCACTGCACTCCAGCCTGGGTGACAGAGTAAAACCCTGTCTCTAAAAAAAGAAAGAAAGAAGAAAGGAAGGAAGGAAGGAAGGAAGGAAGGAAGGAAGGAAGGAAGGAAGGAAGGAAGGAAGGAAGGGGAGGAGAAAAGAAAAGAAATTACCTTGAAGAAGGGCCACAGCCAGACTTGAGAGAAAATACTGAGTGTCCAAATGCTTCTTCCTCTTCTTCCATCATGACACAGGACTTTCCACTGAAATTGACTGGGTTCTACTCTGGAAGTGACACTGTGCCAGGTTCTGAACACAGACAGCGAGTGCAGTCACAGACAATGGCGACTCACAGACCACGCGGTGGCTGTGGACAGGGAGACGAGGAGATGCGGTTTCCTCTGGGCACTTTTTGGAGGCAAAGTCAACAGAATTTCCTAGAGATTGCATGTGGTGTGGAGAGAAAGAGCAGAGGAGCATGACTCCAAGTGTTTGGCCAAGGAGAGGGTGAAGCTGCCATGAACCCACATGGCTGAGCCTGAAGGGAGAGCAGGTGTGGGAGCGTTAGGAGCTCAGATTTGAACAGGTTACGTGTGACATTTTAGATGTCTATGTGGAGCTGCTAAGCAGGCACTGGACACAGGAATCTGGAGAATGAATTCTCCATATTAATCTCATAAAGATTCAGTGGTGATTTTTAAAAGTCAGTGCATTCATTAATACTTAACCGGAAAAAAAAAATACAGATCATAATGGCTTCTATTAGTTTTATCGGAACAAAAGTCAAGCACAATCTTCTAAAATCCTATTCTGATGAAAGGAACTGTCAAACGATAGCAGACTTTTTTCCAAAGGTTTTTTGTAAATTTGTTATTTATAACTCAGAATATATTTTCCCAGAGAAATAATTTCATGATTCATGGCTAACCTCTTGCGCTAGGTCTCAAAAGTGTATCTCTTGTATAACATAACAGCATATTTGTTGGGGGGAAAGAGTAAAATAACACTGTCAAGGTACTAGCAATTAAACAAACAAACAAAACTTAGTGATATAGGAGCTCTTGTGCTTCCTTATTTATGATTCCTGATTTGAAATAGAGCTCATCTGACCAATCAAACCCTCTCTCCAAGAAATGACAAAGACCTTTTATTTGACTGGAACATTCAGCTGTGGGAGGCAGGTCCCAGAATTTTGCTTCCTGGCAGCAGACTAGGCTAGGGGAAGGAAGCAGGTTTGTGTAGACAAGGAACCTGGGGCGGCAGGCTCAAAGAACTCTCAGAGGCTTAAGCCCACCATGAGAGAAGAAATGGGGTTTGCAAGCTCTATTTGAAGCCTCATTCACACTTTGATGTGATTCATTTTAGTCACATCCAAAACAAGTAGATCACTCGGGAATGCACATTTTTATTGAGGCGGAATAAAGAAAAAAGGGTTTCTAGAACTAGAGGAGGGGATTGGCTCAGATGGCGTCACTTGGGCCAACAGCCAGCTAGTCTGTATGTTGATGGTGTGGGTGAGGGAAGACATTAAGTGCCTAAAGAGGCTTAGGAGAAGAGGCAAGAGGTAAGTTGAAGTCACAAAGACAACTTTTGCTGAGGTTCTGATGGTAGCTGCTGTGATAACAAGAATTACGTTTATGGGTCACCAAGGCTTGAGTTACACTATCGAATCTAGCTTGGGAAACTACATGTCTTAGTCTATCATCATTTGGTCCATGCTTTCCATTCTCAGCTCTTCTAAGCGGGCTGCTCAGTTTAAATTCCCCTTGCTCAACTCCCACCTCAATTTTATCGTAGGAAGAGAAGGGGAGGGGGAAGAAAGTGGGGACATTTGTATCACACCTTTACTGTGCCCATTCTCCCTCTTCTCCCCTTTACTGTGAATGCAGGTTAGCACACACTTATCACGGCTTCCTTGGTCAAGGGTTCTTTGAAACATAGAACCCTTGAACACCATTGGCTATTGATATGGCTCCAGTGACTGGAGGAACACCAGGGTTCTTGGTCTCATGCTGATAGGATTAACAACACGGACACGTGGAGTAGTTTTAAGGAGCAAAAAGTTTAACAGGCAAGAAAGAAGGAAGGAAGAAGAAAACAGTTCCTCCATACGGAGAGACAGATAGGGAGGATTCAAACAAAGAGAAAACTCAGTGTGCAGTGGAAAAGTGGTTGCTTATATTGGGATCCTGGAGGAGGCGGTGTCTGGTTTGCGTAGGGTGCAGGGGATTGGTTGGACCAGGTGTGTCATTTACACAGCTCTCGAAAAACCTGGCCCTCCCACCTTAGCCCTTTAATATGCAAATATGGGTCACCGTTATGTTTTGAACACATGGTGTTATCTGGAGGTGGCCACGACACTTGCTACACCTGATGACAAGGAAGAGATGACGGGAATTGCCATGTTGAGGGAACCCAGTTTCTAATGGCTTACATTTGCATATCAAAGCTTGCGGGACTGGCCCTTCAAGCTGCCTTTTCTGTTAGAACAGAGATGGTTCAGGGGTTATTTCTTATAACAGGAAAATTTCCACTGAGAACTTTTACCCTTACCACGTGCCTAAAAAGTATTTCTTAATAACTGCTATGTCACTATCATGGGTTTTTTTTTCCCCCATTCTTTCTTTGTTGATGCCAAAATAAAATTAAGTTAAATATTGTATCCTCTCATAGATCACGAATGCAATGAGGGCAGGCATTGTCTCTTGCTCGACAATTGGGTCCTAGGTGTGTAGGCTTAATGTCTTGTGCAGAGTGGGCATTCAGTAAATAATAATTCAATAATGAATGAATAAATAAGGGAGAATGTAGACGAGGCTATAGGCTTTTGGTGTAGATCCTTTAGAAAACTTTCTGGGCACTTTCAATGGTTTTAGAGGGTGATGGCATTGGGTGGTTAATAAATCTAAATTCACTTGAAAACATAAGGCTTTCCACTGGTAACAGTCCTTTTACATTTAATCAGTCATCCCAAAGTTGTGGTGAATTGGAAGTCACGGCCACAGTATTTTACACTCCTCTATTTTCCTACCTCTTGAATCTGAACTTGCCTTATGACTTGTTTTCATCAATAAATTGTGGCAGAAGTAATGTGCAGTGGGAATCCAGGCCTTACGAAACCTGAAGCTTCCACGTTCACTCTCTTGAAATTCTGCTGCCTTCCTATAAGGAAGCTCAGGCTAGACAACCAAATGAAGAGGGTCTTGTGTGTGGGTACTAAATGAGAAAGTGAGGATAGACAGAGAAAAAGCCCAAAGCCAGTTCCCCAGTTGTCACAAGAGAAAAGGCAAAATACTGATTGGCAATAGATCGTGTGGTGAGGCCAAAGGCAAGAGCTCTTCAAATTGTTATTTTCTATTCGACGAGAAGTGAGAGTTGGCAGGCAAGCAGAGATTATGTAGGAGTTTTGAGAAGGAAGGTGTGAACAGCCCTCCAAAGAGTGGGTGAGTGATTTGACCACGGAAACGTGGGAGCGTTGCTCAGCAGCACCAAAGGTCGGCTTGATGTTTATGATCATTAAAATGAGTCATGTTAGCATGCTCGTTTGTTTTTTCCAGTCAAATTCACTTGCTCAAGAGGAGTTCCAGAGTAGGCGGAGAGTTGGGGTTTTTCCTGGCTGGGAGAAAGGAGGGAGAGGGAGCCAAGGCCGTTGACAGTACATGCACTAAAATGATGGGACCTGAATTTATGCCGGGAAAAGAGGGAAGTGTAAGAGCAGAGGGATAAGGAAAGGTGAGGAATCTGATGAAGGTAAGTAATCACTGGCACTAAGAGGTATGAGCTGGAATGGAAAGGGAATGTAAAGTGAGCTGCTTGAAACTGACACTACGGAGGACACACAGTTATGAGTAAAGTCAATGGTGTGATACCAGGAATGTGTGGCTGCGCTGCTGTGGGAAAGATCACAGGAGATTGGAAGCTGAGAGGCTGTATAGGCATTGCAGGAATCATCCATGTGGATATTGAAATCACCATGAATTATGAATGGAGCCAACTGTATTACTGGTTACTATTTTTACCAGACCACTGTACGCGACTTTAGATCCCTCAACTTCCCGTTTAGAGCACTTATCGCGGCTTGAAATATTAGAGCGATTATTTGCGCCGGGCACGGATTATTGGACAGTAATCAGGGCTTACAAGTCTGTTTCGTTTCTTGACTGACATACGATTAATACCCAAAAGGCAGGATGGATAGATAGATGAATAGTATTCTATCTGTGATACAGGGAAACTTCAGATGTAATAAATTATAAGGCCAATTAACCCTACAAACAGGATCCACAGTTTCACATCAATGAAAAAGCAAGACTTCAAGAGGGCAGGAGTTTTTGTCTGCCGATTTTCCCGCGTCTAGCACAGTGCCTGGCACATATTAAGTGCCCTGAAATACTGTATGAAATACACCTCATCAGTATCTCACCGCGCCTGCGCTAGATGCCCTGGGTGGGGACAGCCTTGACGCGCTGCGCCTGCGCGATGTCTCTTTGCGGGGCGCCCCGGTCGGTTCCCAGCCCCGCTTCGCCGCAGAGGCTTGGGCCCTCCGGCCCTCCGTAGCCGCGCGACTGTCGCGCTGCACCAGCTTCCTCCTCGGCGTTCCCACGCCTATTTGGGCGGATTCTTGGCGCCCGAGGAAGAGGTAGGCGCACCGTGTCTCCACGTCAGAGACCCGACTGTGGAGATGGCGGCCCAGAAGATAAACGAGGGGCTGGAACACCTCGCCAAAGCAGAGAAATAGTGAGTGAGAACCTTCCATGGGCCTGTGTGTGGACGCCGGGTCCGTCTCTCACTGGCGCGGCCTTAGCACCCGGCGGGGCGGGAGGGAGGGGT